ATTGCAACCCCTGACTTTCAAAACTGTTAATTTATTACCTTGATTATGTAATTTTTATCAATTTTGGTCAAGCCGACCAAATGTGACCGGAAAATTTTAACTCACCAATTAATCTTAAATGGTAGTTAGGCTACCCTTATCCCTGCAAATCTCTCACTTTTAAAAATGAGTCACACTTACAAATATCCAATTTACAAATCATTTACTATTCACACTATATTCCTGCAAATTTAATCAACTTTCAAAAGTGGATCTAATATATTAAAATAACATTATTAATTATATTAAAATATTAAAAAATAAATAAATAAAACAAAAACTGTGGCAGCTTTTGTCAGGGTTTGTAAATTTGCAAACCATGTTCATAAAAAAAAAATTAAAAATATTAAAAATGATGTGGCATTTTGCCACATCATCTTGCAAATGTACCCATTAAGTGGAATAATTCTAGCCTTAAATTTGAGTTTGAATTATGATCTCCTACCTTGATCTTCCCTAAATTTAGTGTTTCTACCTAGGAGGCTTAGAGAGAAAGAAAAATGAAAAGTGATCTAAAAATAAGAGTGAATTCCATTTTTGGTCCTACTGTTATAGGGGTGTTTTTAATTTTAGTCCACCTTAATTTTTTTTGTCACTTTACAACCACTGTTGAAACGTTTTTCACTTTTAGTCCACCGTTATTATTTCTGTCAAGAGGCCGTATAATCCAAGGGTATTTTGGTCTTTTTTATGTTTGTCTCTTCTCTGTTAATCCAGGCGCTTCGTCCTCCTCCTCCGATATTCGAATATGGCTCTTCGAACAACGAGAATGGGAAGCCAAAGCTACATCGTTTCGTTCGTTCCAACATGGGCCGGCGAGGTTTCTTAGGTTTTAGGTTTAATGTTCTCATTTCTTTAGTCAAACATAGTTTTGGATGAGAAGAAATGTCAAATTAAATACCCCTAAATTACACGGCCTCTTGATGAGAATACTAACGGTGGGACTAAAAGTGGAAAACATTTAATAATAGTGGTTATAAAGTGGCAAAAAAAATTAAGGTGGACTAAAATTGAAAATGCCCCTATAACAGTAGGACCAAAAATGGAATTCACTCTAAAAATAAACACCAATTTTTATTTATACAATTAGAGTCGGGCTAAAACAAATAAGGAATTAAATTGTCAAGACTCAATTACGATCTTGTGACAATAGTTGTAACGATTGTACTCTACATGATTATGTTAGAGCATGATAGTTTTTTGGATAGTAAAATTTGTTTTAGTGAATTGAAAATGAGGGGATAACAAAAAAATTGTGTGATGAGATGCATAAGAGTTCAATCAAGGAAATGATAAGTTCATAACTTCATATGCATGCATATATAAACTTGGACTTTAAAATGATTAAGGTTTGTTAAACTTATTATATATTTCGTGGAACAAGAAAATAATGGCCCAAAACACTACCGTTATAATGAAGGCAAATTATATCATGCACCACGATCATGCACCGCGCGTCTTTTTGTTAAATGAAAAGAAACGGTGTTTGTTTCCGCCGTTTCACACCCTTTCGCAAAAAGTAAATCTGTTATTCAGTGTCATTTTGTATACACTGCAGTTTCAGTTTAATACAACTACAGTTTCATTTCGATATAACTATAGTTTCATTCGATATTTATAGACTCAAATATGTGAGAATGTTATTTAATTTTATTTTATATACACTATAGTTTCATTAAAACACAACTACATGATCATTTTGATATAATTACAGCTTCATTGTACAATATACACTCAAATATGTGAAATGTTATTCAGTTTCATTTTATATATACACTGCAGTTTCATTTCACTATAACTACAGTATCATTTTGATATAACTGCAGTGTCGGTTTAGATATACTGTAGTGTCAGTTGGTGTTTAATACACCAAACAAGCGGACTCCGTTAACTATAACGGCGTGTCGTTTCTTTACTTAAAGAAACGGCGCCGTTTTTTACCGCGGTGCATGTGTGCACCGCGGTCTATGATATAACGACTGTATAATGAGAGCAAATAATTATATAGATCATGGCCTATTGTATGGGCCATAAAAAGTACATTTTAACATACTAAAAATATAATATTTGTGTATTAAATATACATAATTTGATAGTATATAAAATGAGGCAATTTATATCCTACACCACGGCGCGCGTTGCACTATGCGCCCAGATGCAAAACGACGTCGTTTTAATTATTATTTTTTTTTTTGAAATTTCCCGCCCCAGTGAATGGCAGTAGTTTTTTCTTTAAAAAAAAAAATCCGCTGTTCAAGAATGTACATAATGTTATACTAGAATACACATAATGCTATACATGAATGTACATAATTATATAACAAAATATACATACTCTTTTTAAAAGATAATACACATAATAAACATAAACTTTTAACATAATACACATCAACTCTTAACATAATACACACAAATTTTCTGATTCGGATGTACATAATTGTATAAATAGAATGTACATAATTGTATAAAAAATACACATAACTGTATGAACCAATACACATAACGTTGTGAACAAATACACATAATCTCAGCAACTTCCTACCGCGCCTCCCAACACTACCCCAAAACGACGTCGTTTTGGGAGGCGCGCGGCGCACAGTGCTATGTGCGCCGTGGTGTAGGATATAACGATTGATAAAATGATGTATTTTCAGTACTCAAATAATGTATTTTATATACATAATGTGTGGAGTATTCAAGGTTGCAGTAGGCGCTAGGCGCTAGTCGGGCGGCCGGGCAGCGCCTAGCGCCTAGGCGGTCTAGGCGGCGCCTAGGCGGATTCTAGGCGGGGCTAGGCGGGCACCAAAAAAATTAAAAAAAATAGTGACAGACTTGTAGTTCGACAATTATAATGAGGTTGTTTTCAACGTTCACTCAAATAACACATCTAAATAAATGAAATAATGATAATTTATAAGTCATAATGTCATAATAATATTAAAATCAATAATTAATGAAAGACGACATCGGTCAAAATCAGACAAAATCGGTCAAAATTGGTCAAAAACGGTCAAAATCGGACGAAATCGGTCGACTCGGCCGAGTTGGCCTAGTTGACCGACTCGGCCGAGTTTGACCGCCTAGGCCGCCTAGCGGCCGCCCAGGCCACCTAGGCGGCCGACCGAGTTTTGGCCGCCTATAGGCCAAAACTCCAAGGTAAGTGGCCGCCTAGCGCCTAGGCGGGCGCCTAGGCGGCTAGGCGGCCGAGTTTTACATCACTGGGAGTATTTTTTATTTATGGTCCACACAATAATGATTGTATAATGAAACATCCATGGAAAAATAAAAGATTTTTTTTTTTTTGAATACTGACTCTATTACATTGTAGTATCTATTCAACAACATTTTCACCTTGACTTGATCTATGCAATTATTTACTTTTCTCACTCCATCCATGCAATTCTTTCTCCTCTATCAAAAATGTCCCAAATTCACATAATTTTATAAAAAATGATTTCTTTTATCAATAAAATAATACTAATAATATAATATAATAATAATACTCCGTACTAAATATATATAATGCATGGTACCCTCCCTCCTAACTTACTTTGGATCCCCAAATTAATCACCCCATGTCCCCATTAACCAACTCCCCTAAACATGCAATGTTTAGGTTTACCCGCCCTACAATCTCACTCAATTTCAATTATAATCTTCTTTCTTAAACAATAAAAAGCATAATAAAATTTACGGAGCTAATTAATCAACATTAGTATCTTTTATACTCAATAATAATTAATACCATCATATATGTACTAACGTGATAATTATGCCAATTTGATTACTACTGAAATTTTTACCAATAACATACGTTTTAAATCTGAATACAATATTTTTGTCATTATGGTACAATATATGTATCATACAAATTAGTGCAACATAAATAGGGGAAAAAAAGAGGGACATTTTTTTTTTTAATAGAGATTGAGGGTAAATTTGGGTGCTCATGGAGAGATATATGCCTACTCCATGTGCATTAATCACTTGGGCAGTCCTATATTTTTATCACAATGTAATTTACTGATGACTATCTAGTAGCTAGCTAGTACATACTAAGCTAATCTGTTGATTGAAATGGTAATAGAGGTCTCATCAAACTACATATTAGTTGATATAAAAGTTGAATTATAATTTTAAAAGATTATATGTGTGTGTGTGTGTTTTTTTTTTTTTTTTTTTTTTTTTTTTTAATTTCAATTTATGTTTATATTTATTTATTTATTTTGTTTATATATATATATATATATATATATATATATATATATATATATATATATATATGTATATCAAAAAACACCCCAGAAGAGATCTACAACATATAAAAATGTCATATAAAATTGACCTGTAGATCTCCAGATATAGGTCAATTTCCGAAACTGGTCACAGAATGTGAAAATCTGGACAGGGTATGATTGCGTGTAAATGTGCTTAGGATATAGGTAAGGATGAGATCAGATGTGGTTGTTTTCTCGACATAAGTTATGGTAATATAGTCGTTAGGAGGTGTGGAGTATCGTTGAACTGGATGGTTGTGAAATGTGGTAAAAAAATCGATATATTTAAAACTAGCTAATTTATGTAGTTATTCTACAAACTTATATAATAAAGGAACATTTTAATTAATCCTGATGATTAAAAGATCAAAATATTAATGATAATGTGGGGCTGGTTGGTCCTAATAATTAATTAATTATTATTATTTTTTTTTTTTGCAAAAATAATTAAAACATAGTATTAATTATCAAAAATCCTCCTTGAATTGCTTAGGCTATATAACCGTGCTAATCCTATTCCTACGAAGTCCATCAACAGAAATGTTCAACAACACAGCACAGACACAAAAAAGAAAAGAAATGGAGATCCTCAAGTTCAGGCAAGCAAGTAGAGTTTAGTTCTCTTTTATATGTATATATATATCTATACAAAATCAAATATGCATACTATCACTGTTGATTTTGACAGTGCTTGATATCAGATCAAAACTACATGATTTTTTTTAATAAATAAAAAAAACAAGAACAATAATATTATTATTATATCATTAAAAAAAAAAAAAATACAGTAAAGCATTGGAATGGGTACGGCAAGTTGTGTTCTTGTGGTGGGGCTGCTATGGATGCTGGCTGCGAGCACAGTGGTGGGTAAGGGTAACAAAACTCACGTTGTCAAGACGGTGACGTATGATAAAACATCTATAATCATTAATGGAGCCAGAGAAATCTTCTTCTCAGGCTCCGTTCACTATCCTCGTATGCCTCCTGAGGTATATATATATATTGTTATTCAATTCATCTGTTCTATTTTATAATGTCTGATTTGATTAACGAAAAAATTTCATATGAAATTACATTAAAAGTATTATTACGAGACAGAAATTATTAAATTTTGGCAGGAGTGGCCGAACATCATCAGAAAAGCTAAAGAAGGAGGTTTGAATGTCATCCAAACTTATGTCTTCTGGGACATTCATGAACCTGTTGAAGGCCAAGTATGTATACATATATATATACATTGTGATTATATGTGCATGTATATATACGATATATATGTGGGTGTTTGCAGTTCAACTTCGAAGGCAACAATGACGTGGTGAAATTCATCAAGATGATTGGGGATATGGGTCTGTACGTCACACTCAGGGTTGGACCCTACCTTGAGGCTGAATGGAACTTGGGGTATTCATTGGAATGCATAAATATTTATATATATCCGATAGATACAAACCTTAGCTTGAAGTTTTTTCTTTAAATTTAGATTTCTCTCTATCTCTATATATATATTAATGCTGTATATTACGTATTGATATGGTGGGAGCAGAGGATTCCCATACTGGCTGAAGGAGGTTCCTGGGATCGTCTGGCGTACCTACAACGAGCCATATATGGTACGTCATTGAATTCCCAGTCTTCTTGATTTGAGGCTGGTCAATATGGATGGGCAACCTAGTTAGGTTGATTTACCTTCTTGTGATCGATCTTTTGTCAAATCACAAGCAAAGTGAAGTTTGTGAATATGCATGATCACAAACTAACCAGCTTGATTGACCTATAAAAAAATCAATTTGGTCAGTATTTTGTCCCAAATAAAAATTAATCTATGTATAATACAGACTTAAAGGTGACCTGCCTGTCTTCTCTAACCAAAAATGAAAAATATATATGCAGAAACACATGAAGAGGTTCGTGGAGATGATTGTAAATATGATGAAAAAGGAGAAACTATTCGCGCCGCAAGGAGGCCCCATCATTATGGCTCAGATAGAAAACGAGTACAGCTCCGTGGAGGCTTCGTACAGAGAAATGGGCGTAAAATATGTCCACTGGGCAGCAGAAATGGCGGTGGGTGCATACAAGGAAATCCCATGGATCATGTGCAAGCAAAAGACAGCTCCCCCCATCGTCATCACCACCTGCAATGGCCGACACTGCGCCGATACTTTCAACGGCACAAACGGCCCCAACAAGCCGCTTTTGTGGACGGAAAACTGGACGGCTCAATACCGAGTCTTCGGAGACCCTCCCGGCCAGAGATCCGCCGAAGATATCTCGTTTTCCGTCGTACGTTTCTACTCCAAGAGCGGAACATACGTCAACTATTACATGTACTTTGGTGGCAACAATTTTGGGATGACGGGATCCTCCTTCGTCAGCACGGCCTACTACGATGAAGGTCCGATGGATATTTACGGGTTTAACAGAGACCCAAAATGGAGCCATCTCAGAGATACCCACAGAGCTCTTAAATTATGCAAGAAGCCTTTGCTTTGGGGAACCGCAAATCTCAACAAAATCAACGGCGATCACGAGATCACTACCTTCGAGAATACTGACCTTAAACTCTGCGCCGCCTTTTTGTCCAACAACAATACCTTAAAACCAACCACCCTTAATTTCAGGGGCACAGATTACTACCTTCCGGCCAAATCCGTCAGCATTCTCCCCGACTGCAAGAACATGATTTTCAACACCCAGCACATCCTTGCCCAGCACAATCACAGGACCTTCGACCCTTCCAAGGTGGCCGGTAATCTTAAATGGGAGATGTTCCAAGAATCCATTCCCACAATCGATACTCTGCCCGCCAAGTCCCCCGCCCCAAAGGAGATGTACACCTTGACAAAACACACCACGGATTACGTCTGGTTCAGTACGAGGGTCGTGATGAACAAACGCGATCTTCCCATGAGGCCCGACATCCACCCGGTTCTCTTCGTGGAGAGTATGGGCCACGCCATGATTGTGTTTATCAACGGGGAGTTCGCGGGGTACAACCACGGGAATAACGTCGCCAAGGAATTCATTCTTCTTCAGCCGGTGAACTTGAAGCCCGGAACTAACGACATCACCTTCCTCTGCTCCATTCTCAGTTACCCCAACAGCGGCGCCTGGATGGAGAGGAGATACGCCGGACCCAAATCCGTGTTATTGCTTGCGCTAATGACCGGAAACCAGGATATCACCAAGAATTCCTGGTCCTACTCCATTGGTACTCAAGGGGAGAAGCTAAAGTTATTCACGGAAGAGGGCGCCGAGAAGGCGAAATGGGGTCCGGTGACCGGCAACCACAACACCCGGAGAGCAACATGGTACAAAACCCACTTTGATCTCCCAGAAGGGAATGACCCTATAGCAGTGAACATGGAAAAAATGTCCAAGGGTATGGTCTGGGTAAACGGGAAAAGCATCGGCCGCTACTGGGTTTCATTCCTGACCCCACTCGGGCAGCCAACCCAGACAGAATATCACATCCCGAGACCCTGGTTGAAGCCCAAGAACAACCTTTTAGTAGTGTTCGAGGAATTCGGGGGCGACCCGGATAGCATAAAGGTGATGCTGGTGAATAGAGACACAATCTGCAGTTCCGTAGCGGAGAACTATCCCCCCGACGTGAAGATTTGGGAGAGAAAGGGAGACGAGTTCCGGGCGACGACCGACGACCTGAAACCCAGGATGCACCTCACTTGCCCGGATGCCAAAGTGATGAAGAAAATAGAGTTCGCCAGCTACGGCAACCCCGAAGGCGTTTGCGGCAACTTCATGACCGGAAGCTGCAGTTTCCCCAACGCCATTAAAATCGTGGAGAAGGCGTGTTTGGGGAAGACCGAGTGCGAAGTTCCGGTGGAGAAGAGCTTGTTCGTGGAGGGAAAGGATCTGTGCCCCAAAATCGTAAAGACTTTGGCCGTCCAAGCAAAATGCGTCCGTCAAGGCAAAGAAGACTGAGCTAGCTAGGCCATACAACTATACCCATGCATGCCCATATATGCTGCCTGTTATTTTTTTTGTCCTTTTAGTTTTTTTGAGAAATGATAAAATAAGAGCGGCTTGAAATGAAAATTTTGTTTATTTTTAATGAAGATATATTGTTCGATCAAATTATGCATTTACATTATACTAGTAATTCACCCGCACGATGCACGGAAAAAAATTATGCTATTATAAATATAAATAAAAAATAGAAAAACTAAAATATTTTAAATTATTTAATATAATAATATTTTTGAGCTTCCATTGGTCAAGTAGTTATTATTTTTATAGAATACAAAATTACAATTAAAATTATAATTATAATTATAATTATAATTTTGTATGGTTAATATAATCTCTAATTATGTGCATATTCAAATAAACTTATAGAGATAATTTACATAATTACATTGATTTATTCTTCTTCCAAAAAGGTTGAACCCCAACCCTAAGGGCTCCCACACCCCGGCCCGACAAAGCGGTGGGAGGTTGTAAATCATGGTGACTCAACTGAACATTAATCACAGAGGCTAGACCAGTGCTCTACATTGATTTATTCTTAATTGTATTTCATCTATACTAAGATAATTACATTTGGAAAGCAAATTTCAAATTTTGTATGTGTAAATTTAAACTCTAATTGAACACATTTTTTATATGATTATATAATATATAGCTATTTTATTTTTCAAAAGTATATTTTTTATATGATTATATAATATATAGTTATTTTATTTTTTAAATGTTGTGTTTTTTATTTTTATTTTATTTTATAATAAAGGATGTTGTGGCATTAATTATAACATTAATTATTTTCCAAACCATATAGCTTTATTATATAAAGGGTTGGATTGTGTTTAATTTTCTGGATAAATGACTTAATTGCAAGTTTTATTTGTAGGTTACTATTTAAGTGTTTCACCCAATGCCGCCTATTCTGTTCTTTTCATTTAATTTTTTTTTTTTTTTCATAAACAATAGGAATTGATGTATACGAAAAAAAAAAATATTTGATTGTCCCCAATACATTTTCTTTTAACATACAAAATTCAAGACCAACAATCGTCCATGTCAATCGAATAGTAATAATTTTATAAATAATTTACATGCATATTCTGTAATTTTGTGTATCATGTATATTTTTATGTTGCACTAGGTGCTGGTAGTATTTTCTGTGAAATTGATGAAAGTATTTTTCGTGTTTGGTAGTAGTGTGGATCAAATTGGAATGATTACGTATTAATATTGATGTTTGGTTATGTGAATAAAAATTTTAAAAATACAAAAAAAAAAAAATCAAGACAAATCATAATCGTAATATAATAACATCTATCCAAAGCTGAACAAAAAAAAAATCAAAACAAAAATCTAAAAACACTAATTCAAACTTAAAAATTGAATTACCCATAAGATGAAATGATACTTGTTTTTAATTAGGAAATGAGATTTTTAATTAAATGAGTAATCAAATCTCATAGTTAACATAGACTATAACAGAAAAAAAGATTTCAAATAATAGCTTTATTTATTTATTTATTTTGAATGATTCAAACGAGCTGAGCCTAAATTTTTTATTATAAAGTGGTTTGATACAAACCTTCTTGGCCGGAGTTCTTGTTCCTCAAAATCCTTTTCATTCTCTTTCATCTTCAACAATCCCCTGGAATTTTGTTACATTCAAGAATTATGGATTGGGATGAAACACATACAAGAGAAAACAATAGAGTTAATGCCATATGGATTTTCCTACAATGTATACATAATAATTTTATTGATTTACTGTTATTACACTTTTAAATATTTCATTTCACATCATTGAATCAACTTTTCTCATTCTTGATCTACCAAACTCTTAGAAGTGTTTAATATCTGCTCCTACTTTATGCAACTTGCTTGTATAAACTTACTTTTAAAATACAATGCAAGCAAATGATGACAAACGAGTATGCTTTAAATAATTTTTTTTTGGCCACCAATTATATACATCTACAAATGGATAAGGACTCGGTCTTAGTGTATAGGAGTTTTTGAAAATAAGGGAGCAATAACCACTTTCTTGTTCTAAACAAGATGGGGTATTGCTCCTTTATTTCTATTTATTTTTTTTATTCAATTTTTGAATAAAAAAATTTAGGTTTTTTTTTTTTAATTAAGTTAAAATAAGATACTCAATTCAACACTTCCAGCTAATAATCTAGATATTGCGTGCCAGTTAATAATGATTTAAATATAAAGTAGGAAAGAGTTGAAAAAAATATGTATGGTACTATTGATAAATAGTAGCATAACAAATTTCACCTTATCAGTCGTGGGTTATCTGATCTGGTGCATCCATATCTACACATAAGTCCACACTGATAGATCTAAGCTGTTTATTTACAAATTAAATAAAGTCTAATACTACTTGGAGACGTGCTTATGCAGAAGCTTTAGCGCCATCACAAATTGCAGGGACGTTTTTGCCAGAGAGTGTTGGCTTCACGTTTTATCATAGTATACCAAACCTAACCCTAATATATTTCGAATATTCGGGCGGGTCAGATATGAAAATATACAACCCCACCCGAAATTCCTTATCCGGCATCGTTTAGGGTTGCTGTTCGGGTAGTGATGTTCGGATGCGGATTGGGTCGGGGAGCTTGGTTTCGGAATTCGGACTGGGCGGATTTTTCAGGTCGATCGAGTTATGCACAACCCTAGATATATTTGAGACGTGTTTAGAGCAAATCGACTCGAAGATGCAGGTCAAAACAACCCGGAATAGTTCAACCCCATAGTTCACCAAAGGGCCCAAGGCTCCGTTGTCGAACTTAGCCCCCCAAAGCTGACCACAAGATCATGAGTACAAATTAAATTTGACAATAAAAATTAGACTATTAGCAAAAAAACTAAAAAAAAATAAAAAGCAAAGAAACATCTTCTTTGTCGTCGAAAAATGTCATTGCCTAAAATAGGATTTCACATGAAAAAATCATCGAAATGATTAAAAGTGTCTAAAATATGATAGTCTAGGTTGTTAACTGACAAAATTGATTGTTTGGGACTAAATTTGAAATTGCCACTAAAGACGAGACTTCCGGTGGAATTAATTTATTGAGAAAATAAAAAGTATTGAAGAGACAAAAATACTCTTTTTTAAAATACAATTTCAACGGAAAAGTCATCCGAAAACATTTTGGAAGGACAAAAATGTCCAGAATATGATAGCTAGGGTGTTAAATGCAAAAAAAAAAAAATAATAATAATAATAATAAAATATGACTACCCATTTAGAATGGTAACCAAGATGCTATCAAACTATATGGTAGTTAGCCACTGGAATTAACTCTTAATGTATTATATATGTACCTTTTGTTACCTGATTATATACATGTTCTAATGTTGTTCTAAATTCATATGTGGATAGGTAAATAAAATAAAGTACATAATAATGTGCTAATTGCAGATACATCATTTGAATTAAAGTCTACAATACGTATGGTAGACCCTAGACCACAATATAAGAATTGTCCAGACCGGTCTCCAAAAGGGCAAAAACAAACTACCAAACAACTCAAATAATTGCAAAATGAATACAATAATGTTTAATGATAAGTCGCTCTAGAATATGATAGAGAAAGCATTATATATATATATATATATATATATATATATATATATATATATATATTGTCAGTAGCTAGCTGTCCACTGCTTCAACCACATTCCTTTAATAAGCTTAGCAGTGATTTTAAAGGAAGGGGGACATCCACGGACTCAAAAAATATATATACAGCTAAACTAAAGAAGTTTGTTTCTAAAGATAAATTATAGGAAAAATAATAAACCATAGGATTTTGGTTTGTCTTATATATAATATTGGATTCATGCTAGCTTGTCTTTTGGATTTTTCTTTTACTTTGACTTAATTGCGTCTCTGATCTTGTGTATTACAAATCAAAAGCAAAAAAAAAAAAAAAAAAATTGTATGTAATGAACACATTATTTTTAATTGTCAATAATGAAGCTGCTTAAGAACGTAAACCTGCCCAGTACACACTAATAGCCTAAACTTACAATATAACCTGTAATCTCATCTGTCAAATCACATGCATTTCAACTTATTGCAATTCAACCAGCCAACCTAAACATGCATGCATGGGTAGAAATTTCCCAACCATTACACTTATTCTCTACAAATTTCTTTCCAACTCTACAAGAATTCAAGAGGTAGAAGCCAACATAAACTTAGGACTGTGATGAATCCACAGTTTTGAGATCATTATTCCTCAAAATCCCCTTCACTTCCTTCTAGTTACTTTGATCTTTAAGTTCATCTTCAAGTTTCTCTTCAGCAATTCTCTGAAATTTAGTTAGATACAAGAATATATTAATTAAAGATTAAAGATGGGAATGAAATAAGAATTAAAATAGCATACAAAAGTAAGGTATTTGAAGGGATTGCTTCCAATTCATAACATTCATTAAGAATTATCATTAAGAATTAGGCGCTCAAGGACAGGGAGGCTTCGCAGCGCCTCAAATTTGATCCGTAAATAAGCAATGATTTTAACTGATCAAAACTACCTTCGGAATCCTCAATCAAAAACACTTGCTCTGTACATTGGAATGGGCGCAACCATTGAAGTGTCTGTATGTATTGATGAACCACAGTTGGAGTACCCAACACAAATGTTGGGTATTCCAAAGGATTAGGGTCGTCGTCTGCACTATTTTCTAAAACCACGATAAATTCCAATCCTTTAACACTGGTAAACTGTTAAGAGACATGGATGGGCACAGAGCTAGGTATCTCAAAAGAATTAGATCCGCAACATATGAAGGTACATTAATAAAGTTGAGAGAACCTAAATGTACTACTCTCAATCTCTTGAAATGAGAGGTTGCAGGAAGTTGATAAACTTTTGGAGTCATATGATCATCATCATCATGAAAGCAAAAGAGGGAACCAAACCTGTTGATGGCAGTGTGCACATCAAGATTAGGATTCATTGATTCTAAACATAACCAATGTTGAGTCGTCCTTACAGATGGACGTGGTGAACACTTCCATAATAATCTAGATATTGCTTGCCACTTAATAATGATTGAAATATAAAGTTGGAA